GCACTGTGGGCCTCTGCAACCCAGGCCATTCTAGGATTCTGTGATCAAACATAAATACTTATTTGCTTTGGGGATATTTTTTTCCTCATAGATAGAAAAATAAGAAGTATCCTTAAGTTTTGACGTAGCAAAGTCAAAAAAAAAATAATTGTAAGGCTTGGAAGATCAATTTTAGAAAAATACCATGGTTAGAGTCAGAATAAGGTGTTCTGTATGTCCTTTCTTTTAGAACTGAAGGGCTGCACTGATAGTATTAGTGTGTGGTATTTGATCACAATGAAGGAATCAACACATTTGGAAAGACTGACTGAGTTTTGTAGGTTTAAAATATAAATTTATTTCTTCTTCAAAATCTGGCTAAACCTAGAAGCGTGCATTAGGGACTTCCAGGCTGATTTGTGAAATCCATTCCTTTCTTCAGGTGGTAAAACGCTTTCGTGAGGGTGGCTATAACACCCTGGTGTCCACGTGTGTGGGAGAAGAAGGTTTGGACATCGGGGAAGTCGATCTCATCATCTGCTTTGACGCCCAGAAGAGCCCGATCCGGCTGGTGCAGCGCATGGGCCGCACGGGGCGGCAGCGGCAGGGCCGGGTCGTCGTCATCCTCGCCGAGGGGCGCGAGGAGCGGGTGAGCGTGAGCTTCATCCTCAATGGGAGACGTGGGGGCCTTGGGATTGAAATGGAACACTTGTGTTAGAAGTTGGGGCACGTGGGAGTGCTCTCAGCAGTGTCTCGTTTGACCGTGCTGGAAGCTATCGTGGCGTACGTCAGAAAATGTGTGCGCTTTCTCGGTGCTAAAAGCTTTGACTTTCAGGCAGGATATTAGGAAAAATTTCTGTAAGAGCGCTGCTGCAGTGGCACAGCTGCCCAGCAGTGGTGGGGTCACCATCCCTGGAGGCGTCCCAGAGCCGTGGAGATGTGGCACTGAGGGATGTGGGCAGTGGGATGGTGGTGTGGGCTGGGATTGGGCTTGGGGATCTCGGAGCTGTTCCCCAACATTAACGACTGTGTGATTCTAAGCCTTTGTTGTTAAAAGTGCTCAGTTTGTAAATGATGAACTGAGATGCAGAAAGGTGTTTTTTTTGCCAAGGTTACAGGACAGACTGTGGAAGAGATGAGAATGCAGTGCTGAGAGCTGGGGCTGGAAGTGCCTCGCTCTGAGCTGCTGACGCACCGCGCTCTCAGAGCAGTGCTTAGTGGCAGCAGCTTGCGTATGAGGTCTGAAGAGATCAGCTTAAGTGGAAATCTACTTTTGCTAAATTCCTGAATCTCAGCACTCAACTCTGAGTACAATTAATCTTCTCTGAGTGCCGGCTGCCCCTTGGGAAACAAATGTACCGGGGAGAGCTAAGCTGAGAGCTGGGAACTGATCTTCAGCTGTACCAGCAGCCTGACCAGGGTCAGCCCACAGCTGCATGACCACAGGCTTGGGACCCGGGATGACACAGTAGTGCTTAGGTGGGAGGAAGCCTGGCAATCCCTGGGACAGCTCTCTTTGGTTGGATTGGTTGCAGTGTAAAATGAAGCTGCACTTTTCACATTTCATCTTGCAACATCATCTTGAATGCCAGGCATTTGTAGGCTTTATCACTGTTCTGGGTGAAAATGGATTTTGTTCTTTGTTGTTTGGTTTTGTTTACTTGCTTGGCTGGTTCTCAGGTGGGTTGGCTTTCATGAAGGTGAAGGTTGAGATCTATGTAACCTAATTGCAAAGCCCAAGTTTCAGAGTCTTACTAATATTTGATCTAATCCTATCAACAATGTACCTCTGATTTAAATTTGTAGGTAGCTGGAATTTAATTGGTCAAAAGAATCCTGTCTGGGGGGGGGGGAGGGCTGGGGAAGGGAAGCTTATTTGAAGGGAAGAGAGTTTAAAATGGAGGTGAATGGTATTTGTAAAGAGATGTTTTCTTATGCTGCTTATGAAGACTGAAAGTTCCACTCTCTAATGGGATATTGATATAAACCCTTAAATTCCTTGAGGTTTCCTTTAAGCAGTTGTATTTCTACAGAGTTCTCCTGTGTTATTCAGAAATCTTGCTCAAATTTTGTTCCGTAAAACAACTTGTTTAACCTGTGCTGGGATCCCAGCATTTAACAGAATGCCTGTGGGCAGTTGAATGAAGCTCGCCATTAATGCCTTCCAGCTTTATTCAGGGAGCATCTCCTTGTGTCCATCCTTCGAGCCCTGGTTTCCAACTTAGCTGTCACAAGAACATCACTGCTGCCCTGCCTCCAGCAGTGCTCAGAGCAGTGTATTAGGGCACGAGGTGTGCTGTGGGGACTGGATTCATGCCTTAGTTTCTCCATTCTCATCTTGGTTTCTCTGTTGTGCAATGAAAGGAAGTGTAATTAAAAGGACTTGAAGCACGTATGATATTAACTAATGACTTTACACCTTAATTTGCTTGACCTCCTTTCATTCTGATGTAATCCAGTTTACATCATCCCTGTATCCATTGCAGATTGCAGATTCCTCCAGGCAAGAGCTGTGTTTCTTGCAAGCGTTGTGCCTACTTCTGGCTGTCTGACAGAATGCAAAAAGCTGCATGTTGTGTTTGTATTTTGTCTTATTTGTATGAAGGAGTTTTAAGGCACGTCTGCAATTTAGAGAACAGTCACTGTTCTTTGGTACCTTTTACTCTGCTTAGCATGTCTTGCATAGGCACAAAGAGATGATAATTCAAATTTAATTTGACTTACTTGTGTTCTTAAGGAAAGTTTTAAAAAAGAAGGAATTAAAAGGACTTGCAAGCTATTTTTGATGTAACCACTGTCAGATTGTCTGTAGAACTATTTGCTCTATTGTTTTCTTCAAGTCCTGGTGCTGCTCTGCTGTGGTTCCCATGGTGTGGCTGCATGATGCCAGCCCTGAACTTGTGGGTCAAGAACTTGAACACAGCATTTTGTTGACCTAACTTGCCATCATGGTTTGTTTTATCTGCATTTGAGGGGGAAAAAGCTGGTGATAGAAATGCATTACAGTACGTTCCAAAACACGGGGAGTTCCACAATCACATGAGAACTTCTGTCCTGTGAGAGTGGCAGAGCACTGGACAGGCTGCCCAGAGGGGTTGTGGATGTTATCTGGGGATATTCAAGACCCATCTGATGCCCATGTGTGCAACATGCTCTGACGGGAGGTTGAGCTAGGTGATCTCCAGAGAGCCCTTCCAACCCCTGCTATTCTGTGCAAGACCTCACAGACACTCAGGTGTTCTATTGCTTTTGATCAAGCCCTGTGCATTTCAGCAATGTATGACTTTTCCTTTCTCTTACAGACTTACAATCAAAGCCAGTCCAACAAAAGAAACATCCAGAAAGCTATTTCAGGAAACAAAATGCTTCATTTTTACCAGCACAGCCCACGGATGATTCCAGAAGGCATAAATCCAGAGCTGCACCGAATGTTTATTACTGCTGAAAAATACGAACCAAACGATTCAAGAAAGCTTTCCAGAGGGAGACCTAGTTCTCTCCACCATAAATCTGCTCTCTTCTCCTGTGTCACTGGTAAGAGGATTATGGTGTTTTCTGTAAGCACTCTGCAAGCTGCTATATCATGTTGTTATCTTACAGCATATCAAAAGTGCCTGCTCACATCAGTTTGGGTCCCGAGCAGAAGTGCCCTTCTAGCAGCTGTAACCTTTCAGCTGTGTTATTCTGCTTTCATGCTGCCTTCTTTTCCTTTAACATCCTCACATCACAGTCCTGTCTTTAAATGTCTGTCCTTCGTATCAGACCTTCGTTTCATCCTTCTCCATAGAGCTTCCCATAGAGTCAATGGCCGAGGGTCAGAAACTTGAGCTACAAAAAGAAGAGGCAAATGTTAATGTCTGCTGAAGGCTTCTGATATGCCTGTGTCAGCTGGCATGCTGGTCACTAAGTGTTTGGTGATAATTCTGTACTGGATTTGGGCTGGGGCTGTGACGTCTAGGCTTGATGCTTCTATTAATACAGGAAATAGATGTTTTATACTGTTGGAAATTACAGTGAAACAGAAGTGCTTGAAAACTAGAGAATGTTAAGGGACAAAAAGGAGAAAACAAGAACAGGACTTCCAACTTCAACCGTTCTGTAATTCCTTTTGTGATTTATAATTGTAAAAACTTTTGGAGAAAAATGAGTTTTTAAAAGAGCTCCTTGGATGGTTCACTGTCATGGCACTGGAATAAGATTACAAGATAGGATGAAACATCTAATTGTTATAAATACTTGGAAATCATTCACAATCTCTTTTATTAAGTGCTTTTAGTACTTTAAGGACCAACAGCAAATGCTCTGAAGGAAGAAGCTCCTGAAAGACTTGAGAAACTTTATCTTTCAGTATCCAAGTAGTTACACTTAAAGTGTATTTGTGGATTTTAAGCACTTCTGAGTGCAGAATTCTTATCATCAAGAAGCCTGAACGTAGATATGGGGAAGCAAGCTACAAGATCATGTAGAAATTATCGCTTTCCTCTTTGGCTGCAAAACAGCTTCCCATTTCAGCATCCTTCGTGGGAGAAATGTGAAGTGGAAGGATTAATATCAGTAGACCAGTCTGCACATACCATCCTCAGCCTAACCTCTCTGTGAGTTTGCCTGTGCTGCAGGCACAGCCGTGGCACAGCTGTGATGCTCCTCATGATCATTTTTTTCCATGCCTCTGTAAGGCATGCTTATCTGGGCTTTGCATACAACCCAGGCAGCACCCAGTAAGGAAAAGTAAGGGTGGTATAAAAAGATAGAGCAGAACAAAATGTGGGATTAATCATTGTAGAAAATCTGTACGTCTGTCCTAGAAAATAGGACCAAGAGGCACAAGGTGCATAGAGCAGATAATTGGCTGAACATGTTTCCTGCTGAGGGAATAGCACTCGGCAGGCTGCAATAATTACCAGGTTCCTTTTGTGCTAAGTAGGTTAGCAGCAGCCCCAGCTGAAATATGTCGTGTAGGTGGTGATCTGTCCCTGGCTGAAGATGGATGGGATTGACTGCCTGTCTTGCAAACAAGTGCTACAAGAGTGTAAATTACTGATACTTTTTTCATATTGAGCACCAGCTTTGTGTTCCAGTCCCCTTCGTTACCGTATGAAGCAGTGCCTGCTGCCAATTTAAACGGTATTCAAGGCAAATCTCAGAAAAGAAAGCTCTTTAATTTTTGCATTTTCTCCTTCTTATCCAAGTGTTCCCTTCTACGTTGGAAAGTTGAAGGTGGAAGCTGTAATGAACATTGTGTATGTTCTCATTTATCCTTCCTTGCTTTTCACTTGTTCTTGAGATTCATTTGGTGTTTGGCAGACCTTCAGTCTGCTTCATGTTCCTTCCCTGTTTGACAGGACTACACTTCATAGAAAGAGAAGGCTTTGAATGCTAACTTCAGCTCCTGCTTTCCTCCCTTAGCCTTAGATGTCCAAGTGTTCGGGTCAGACGAGTGGGGCATTTCTCCATGCTGTATGGAATTGTTGTTTCTGGAGAAGGGAAGAGTTGAGCAGCCTGTAAATCAGGCATTAATCTTTGCTCTCTGCAAGCCAAGGGGATTCCCTTCCATTCTCCTCTCATGGAGTCCTGTTGTGTTCTGTCATGTACAGAGTACGTTGTATCGCCCAAAAAGTTTGTTCTGCTCAGGGACAGAAACGTAATAGCTCAGTTACTGGGCACAGAGCTTTGGAAAGTAGCTGTTACTGAATGTTGCAAGCTATTGGAGGCCTTCATGCCTCCGTAACCTTGGACAGTAGGATCCCCCTGCATTACTTTGGCAGATGGTATCACAGGATCCTCTTGCTTTGTCAGAACGAGTTGTCCTCTGGATCTGGAACAGGAAAACTGAAGTCATCTGTTGTTCTCATTGTTTCTTTTAATGTGTCTGGATGATACGTTCATCACCTAAGCTCTTACAGAAGGTTCTGGTACACTGGATAACCATCTTCAAGAGCAGCCAGAGCTATCCCAAACCAGATCTGTTTGCCTGAGAAGGTTTCTGCTGATGCCTGCAATTTCCCATCTAGCAGCTTGCTGTTTGGAAGTGCCTCCTTGGTTCCTTGGTAGGCAGCTCTCTTACTTCTTGGGTGTGGAGACATGTCTGCAGCAAGGCAGTGTAACAGGCGTCCCTTTGGACTGGCTGTTAGGCTCCAAATGGAACTCTTCCTGGCCCTTCCTTTATTCCTTGCCCAGGCAACAATGTCCAGAGCTCCACACTGATTCAAGACTGAAGTACAGACTTGGTGTGTGGGTGCTGGATAGTTACAGCTCAAACAAACCTAGAACTTAACTGTTCTTATAAATAACAGAAGGCTATGAGATAGGCTTTTCTGATAAGTGTTTCTTGATTTTTGTTTCCTGCAGGTCTCTATTCCTCCCTGAACTGTATGGTAGTTACAAATGAGTCTAACATCTCCTAGGCTGGGGTCAAAAATATTCTAGTAGCAATAATAATCTTCTGGGTTTTTTTGTTCATTTAGTTTTTTAACCATGGTCTTAAAAATGGCATTGTTGGTTAGATTTCTTCCAGCTGTGAAAGACTCAAGAGGAATTGAGGCTTGTACTCAGAATTTTCGGGGATTGGTATTGAGTCTCATGTGCTCCCATGGAGATGTGTTCTTTGCCAATGGTATTGTGAGAGGACTGGAGGTACAGGCTGATTCCTCTTACACAGCATTAGTTCAGCACAGGGTGCTGGCTGCCTCTTCTTCCCAAGTCCCGTCTCAGGGAGGTTGTCAAACCTGATGATTTTTCTCCAAGCTTCGTGCATCCAGGCTGAAAGCAATCACATTAACTGCTCTTAACAGCAGTGCTTCATATGTTCCTTTGCTATTTGCACTGAGGGCTGCTGGGGGGGGGTCAAGTGTTTTTATTGCATGCAGCTGCCAAAGTGTGGGGTGGTTGCATTGAGGCTTGCTGTCAGACTGCTGCAGTAACTTGCTTTCCTTCTCTGAGCCAAGCAGCACCAGGGCCTTGTCTTCAGTCAGCTGCAACACAAGCACCTACTTGGCTTTCATCCGGCATTGATGCTCACAGGTGCCCCACTCTTCCCACGTGGTGTTATGAGTATCTGCACAGCTAACAAGCCCTCTGTTTCCTTTGCTTCTTCCTGGGAAATCTTCATAATACTTTTGTTTCAGTCCTCTTGCTCATCTACATGTCCTGAATGGTTTAAAATAGAAAACAGATCTAGTCAAGAAATGGCTAAGAAATATTTTTGTCATAACAAAATAATGTTGCTTTCCAGTATTCCAAGAGTAACTTAGACAAGGTACAGCACTTCCCCCACAGCTTATTTGCAGTTTATCCCTGCAATTACATTTACAGTCACTGAGAATTACATTTACAAATTCAAGCCAAATGCTTTCCCTGTTTGCTGTATTGTCTTCAAGGCCAGTTGGTGTTTGAATGAATGTCCCTCTACTTGTATCTGCCAATGTTTCTTTATAGGAGGCCTTCCCCAAAACAATCCATAGACAGAACCATAATTATAACATGTACAAATATCTGGTTTGATGTTTTGTTTCTGACAGCAGATTGTCTGTCTTTGATTTTGCTTGTGGCAAAAAGGAGTGGCAAAAAAGAGGTATTTTCTTCTGACTGGTACTACACAAAGTGTTTTCTTTTTCTTTCCATGTATCACTTTTCTTACAGTATATAATATTTTCCCCTCATTTTTCCCCCCTTCCAGATCCAAAGGAAATGCACTGCCATGAGAATTGGTCTCTGTCACCTGAGGAATTTGAAATATGGGACAGGCTGTACAGACTTAAAGAAAATGATGGAGTAAAGCAGCCAATACTGCCTCACACTCGGTTTGAAACCCTAGAAAACCTGGAGGAAACATCAGTGAGTTTAACCTCAATGTGATGCTTTTTTGGCATTTGGCCTAATGGAAACACTGAGTAACAGAGTTACCCATGAGTTTGAAGGATGCCTGTCTTAAAAATGCAGTTTTGAGAATTTCTCTTAGGCTTTTGAAGATAAGAATTTAGGAATTAAATGTTTGAAATGAGTCTATTAAAAGCAGGGAAAAAAAACCTCACCTGGTATGCAGTAAGTTCTCTTCTGCTTCTGAGACATTCTAGCAGGATGCTGTATTCATGGTGGCATTGCATCACAGTTTTCCTTCCCTTGTTTATATAACTATGCGGCTGGTGGAAAATTCAAGTCGTACAAGCATTTCCTTCAGGGAAGAAAACAAGAATTACTTTGTCATTTCACTGCTTAAAGCAACCTGTCCTTCATGAGCAGCTTTGGCAACACAAAGGCTGTGATTTTTTTATTTCCCACCAGACTTCAGCATTTAGGATAATATTCAGATTCTTTCCTGTGTTCAGAGTAGTTGTTGTCCTTGACAGAGAAGTAGATGTTGGATTTGCTAAACAAACTCTTGACTAAAATCTCCTTGCCAATCTTAAACTGCAGAAGCCTGAAGAGGAGGCAGTGCATAAACTGTCCTTGTCTGAGTGGAGTATTTGGCAGAATCGTCCTTTTCCTACAAGTATGGTTGTCCACTCCGACCGCTGCCACCATTTTATCAGTGTTATGGAAATGATAGAAGTGATGAGACAAGAACAGGTAAGGTGTTTGCATTTGAAAACACACATGTGTACGTAATACACAGTTAGAATACTTAAATAATGAGCTCTCTCATTCTGGTCAGGAGAAATAAGAAGTGAGAGTCAGTGTGCAAAGTCACTAAAAGCAATCCTAGCATTATTCCAGGATGTAATGGGAATTGGAAATAGGTTTGTAACATCACAGAATCACGGAATAATTAAAGCTAGAGTTCCCCCTGGTCCTACTCTGCCCCAGCAGCATTGCCCAGAGCTATGCACAGGGCATGGCCAAGGGCTTTTGGACATCTCCAAAGAGAGATTTGCTGTGCCAGTGTGCTGTCTCCTGCACAGCACTGAAATGCTTCCTAATATTTGGAGGAAACATATTGTGTTTTATGTTGAGCCCATTGCCTCTTTTCCTGGCACTGGGCACCACTGACAAGAGCCTGGTTCCATCCTCCCTGCAGGTATGTATGGGCATTGAGGAGATCCCCTGAGCCTCCTCTGCTTCAGGCTGAAATAAATCATGTATGTGCATTAAAGGCATCTCATAAAAATGATTTCCACATTTAAAAGACAAGTGTGTTTTGAGGCTTTTTGTTTTCTGTAAAAGCTTTAATTAAAAATCTAATCACTCCTAAGAATTAAAGCATAAGATGAGGGTACTCAGCAAACATGGATGAAAACCATTTGGGAGATGACAGTTTCATTTGCTAACTGTTCTATACAGCTTATATTCCTGTATATAATGAAAGGCACATACGTACACAACAATGCTTGTAGATCAGTTGAGAGTACCTGATGTCTTCAGTTGTTCATTATGTTATTTTTTTCTTCCAGTTCTCCTCATATTGCTTTTTACTGTGTTGAAGTTTTCTAGGTCATCAGAATCTGTTGCTAAGCTGCTGGAGTTTACTGAATAACTAATCTAATCAAGGAAGAGAATAGAGACATTGTAGTTGTGCTCTTTGCTAGGAAAGTAAATTAATGGCAAGTTGTAAATAGATTTTTAGAGCTAAGATAAGCTTCTCCGTCACAGAACAATGGCATTTTTAATTTCTTTCTTAGGTCTGTGCCCCTGAGGTTGGGTTAATAACACATTGTCAGAAAGAGACAACTTCAGGGGGAAGTTCAGGTACAGAGACAGCTGAAGGAAGTCCAGAGATAAATCAGCGGTGAAAAGATTTAGAATCATTTGTCTAATTGAGAACTTCACTCCTCACCAGCAAATCGGGCATTTTGAAACACTTGTGTTCTGAATTCCTTTAGTGAAAATGCATTGGTACCAGAACACTGTTTTAGGTTCATAGTTGTGGAACATGCTCTACTCTCTTCTGGTACCTTTAAAATAACGTATAGAGCAATGTCATTAGTTACCAAGTGGTTCTCAGTCTTCTCCCACAGCTCTCCCAAAGGAGAAGCTGTAAGCAAAGGGCAGTGCCAAAATTGCTTTTGCAGAGCTTTTGTAGAGATGTGTCTGCCTGCTGTCCCTTGCTGGAATGTAACAGCACAGCTCGGCTGTCTCTGCTGTGTAGTGAACAGAGGGTGACCCTTCACAAGCACTGACACCCAGTTTTTAGACATAAGTTAGTGGTTTGTTGTATCTACACCAAATTGTCAAGGCTCAAGGACATCAAAGCTTCAGAAAACAAAAAATGCAATATGTTTTAATTATTTTGTCTTCATTGACAGAGGTTTCTTGCATGAAAGCTTTATTAATTTTCTCTTAATTTTTTGAAGTCAGCTTTGACACCTCTGAAAGCCAGTAACAGTCTTCCCAGGACAGCATGTTGTCACCACCATTTTCTCATAGGGAGTGCTTGTTTGTAGAAGAAAATGTTCATGTAAAAATGTAAATAGAGCAAAATAAAATAAGTTTAGATTTGTAGGTGGTGCTTTGCATTTTTGCATGCCTATCAAGGCACCTTTATATCAGTGGGTATATATCTTAGGCATGTTCCTGTCTCTGGTGCTGTGCAGGTATGAGGAGCTGTGCTGGGCAGAACTGCAGCCCTGTGTGCCTTTCTGCCTCTGTACTGCTTAACTGTGGGAAGACTGTGAGGTTTAAAGTCATGCCCTTCTGCTAGATCTGATTCAAACCTTGTTTAGAGTCCTGTTGTTTCACAGTGAGGCCCTGGGATGCATGGTGCTTGCTAAGCACAGGGATGGGGCTGCACTCAGTGCCTGCTGTGTTAGTATGCTGTGCCAGGGCGGTGCATCTGCCCTGTATGTGCTCAGTGTAAGCACACAGATGGGTTACTCTGAATTCCAGCTCTGTGTTTTCAGGACAGCTTTGACCTAAGCATTCTTGGTTAAGGTTGTTTCTGCAGCAGATGGTACTTTTCACACCTTTAGTGTGTGAGTGTGTTTTGGAATTGTAGGAAACGTTTTTGTTAAGTGGTGGGGTTGGATAAAGGGATGCTCCTCCTGGCACCTGACTCTGAGCATCTTCATTAAGTGGCAAAGCAATAATGTGACAAAATATCACTGAGAGGCACTGGCACAGGCTGCCTGGAGAAGCTGTGGATATCCCAGTCCTGGAGGTGTTCAAGGTCAGGTTGGTGGGGCCCTGAGCAGAACATATTTGGCTTTAGATAGTTTACAGTGACTTTGGCTATTTTTTTATTTCTGATATCCTCTTATATAGAAGGAGTTTTTATGGCTTGTACAAGACCCATGTAACTCAGTAACAGACTTTCAGCCAGGTTCTGGGTCCTGCTTAGGCTACAAGCTGGTCCTATAATAGCACATCTCTAAAAAGATATTAAATTCTACTCTGTAAGCCTGTGTTTTTTCTGTACCAAAAATAGTGTGTTTGCAGAATAATGATGCTTCAAATCAAATTAAGCCATTTTGGTGAGGCACAGTGGCTCAGGCTGCCCAGGGAGGTGTTGAAGAGCTGTGTGGATGTGGCACTGAGGGGCATGGGCAGTGGGCATGGTGTGATGGGTGGTGGTTGGACTGGGTCATCTTAGAATCATCAAAGTTGGAAATGACCTGTATGATTCTGTGTTAGGGCAGGCTCTGGGGAGTTAACCTTGAGCAGAAGCTAAGTAAGAAAATCTACCTAAAATGTTGGTCTGGTATGACAGTGAGTGGGTAGAAGGAGTAATGTTTTAGCAGAGCTTCAGGAGCTTTTGCAGGCTCTGCAGTTACGTGCAGCCGTGTTCATACCATAAATATTCTATAGCCAAATATATCACTGCTAATCTGTCTGACGTTAATGTGCAGTTCTTAGTAGCTGAGGGATAACACTGAGTACAAGTCGGAGCTATTTCCTTAAATAACCATGATAGAGACCTTCAAGCCACTGTTCTATAAATTATTTTCTTACTTAGGAATAAAATATAAGCCAGGCAAACCGTTGTTTCCCCCTGGATAACCAAATGATCTGCAAGTCTCTAATGAAGGTAATTATTTCATGGGAAGGATCTCGTTCAGAGATCAGTAACAACTTCATAGGAGCCAGCTCAGGGTATGCAGGTGTTCTTTCTGTAACAGAACACAGCTCAGACTGTATCAGCACTGATGTAGTTTTCTGTTCCTTGTACTCATTCAATTATGTTTCCAAGAAACCTCCAATGCAGTTGCGTTTTACATAACCTTTAAAAAGATTCAAAGGCATACATGCTTTCAAATGAAAGAAGTGAAAATGAGTGAAATAATTACAGTTGTATTGCAATCATGTGTGTTTAATAGCTTGGTGGAAAAGTAGGCACATTGGAGAGGAGATCAAGAAAGGTTTCCCAAATAAGAACCCTGCAATACACCCATCCCTGCATTAAAGCCTTTAATGCCTGCGTGCCTTTATTACTGCAGCAACAAGGCAGATGGGCCTGGATTTTGTACTGACAACAAGCAGGGATTGTCCTGTAGCACGGTAACAAATCGAGTTGTCCCTCTGCAAAATAATAGCATTTCAGCATGTTTGAAAATTAAACTGTACCTTTGGAAACAAGGGCAAAGTAATCACTTTTACTGAGATGTTATTTGCCCGAGTTGCTGAGGATATAACAGGAATTTGATGTGCAAAAGCATTCTTTTATTTTCTGGGAGGCAGGCAGTTGTTAATGACTCTTGAACAGTGTTAATTGTTGTCAAATGCAGGAGTACCACTGTATCCATTTCCCACTGAGGGCTGGACTTGGAAGTTTCAGTCAGAGCAAAGATTGTCCTTAGAAAGAGAAAAATCAAAGTCTCCCATTAGAAGGATTCTTCCTTCCTCCTCCAGGTACCCTCTGGTACCAAACACCTCCAGAGATGGCATTTAGGGGATGAGGTCAGAACTGCCACTGAAACCCTCTGTCTGTTCCCATCTCTGTTGTGTTGCCTTGAAGGACAGCACCTCTCTGCGTGGTGCAGCAGGGAGTTGTGGTCAGCAGCTCTGTGTCCGTGCAGAGATAGTGATGAGTGGTGTCCATATGGGACCAGGGGGCCCCCTAAACATCATGATGTTCAACAAGTGCAGGGTGCTGCGTCTGGACAATCCCAGCTATGTGTGTGGAGTGGGAGATGGATGGAGCTGTGTGTGCCCCATCCCTGGAGGTGCCCAAGGTCATGGATGGGCCCTGGGCAGCCTCAGCTGGGGGCACCCATTGCTGTGGGGGTGTGAGAGCCCTTGTGATTCATGGGGTGAAGTTCCTGACAAAGGGAAAAGTGCTCCAGGGATACCCTGAAGTTCCAAAGAACGTGAAGATGCTCTCCCAGTGTTTTAAATCCGATGTATTTTGAGGGTATTTCCGGATGACTTTTTCCCAGGAGATACTGAATTGAGATTAAAAATGGCTCCAATAAGGGCCATGAAGCAGACAGCATTTTAGGCCATCATTGGCAGTAGTGTGTTTCTGGTTGAAACACTGTTCTAAGATGTGCAAAACTTCCTTCCCAGCACAAAGGATGAATTTAAGGCAGCGAATGGTATTTGTTTACCATGCTCATGGCAGATACACTGAGCTATTTGTGGAACTGCTGGTTTTAACTGTGGGCAGCTGTAATAGCCTGGGCTCCAAATCTGGCTTA